TTGAACACCCCACCCTGGCCTTGAAGACTCCAGAAGTCTGCTTTGCTTGCTCTTCATCAGAATCAACAAGAACCTCAACTTCCTGAAAGACTTGGGATTCAAAGGGCCGCTGTGAGTCATCAATCATTTCAAGGTCTGCAGGCGGTAGGTTTCCTTCTGACACACCACTGCTGCCCTGTTCGACTTGTGCAGGACCCTCAGGTGGCGAAGGCTTCACCTCCCTCTTGGGCGACAGGACTGTTTCCTGGTCACTGTCTTCAATCTCGAACACCTCATCCTCATGAATCGCGATTGGGTGAATCTCTGGATCACTCTCGCAACTCTCTTCCTCAGATGACTCTTCACTATAATACTCATACTCAGACTCCTTTTGATCTTCCAAAGGAGCCGCACGTTGCAAAACTCGTTTGTCACTGGGAGTCGCAGTAGGTGAATTGAAGTCAGTCAGCTTTCGGATCGGGGATGGACCCATCTGAGACTCTGCAGATTCCAGGGGCTGTGTCTCGATTGAGTCCATGTTCTTGATCACGGCTTCTTTCTTGGCCATCTGCGTTCGAATGAGAGTCACAAGTTGTCGGGAAATTGCATGATATATAATATTTAACAGACATCATAAATTGACAGTGTTCCAATTCAGAAGAATATATATATTGGGCATCCGTTTATCAAGCCTGGATGGAATTGAAGTCATCATGCATGGTTTTGCACAGTGCAGGGGTCAAGAGGAAACTACTTCATTCCAATTATTTGTTGTTAATTATATAGGTTTTGCAAAGCTATTTATAATAAATAATAATATATCTAAATATATTTGGCATGCACTTGTGCCTCTTCTTGCTTCATCCGGCTAGCTCCTCTTCCCCTGGTGGGATCTTTTTGCCGTCAGGACTCAACTTCCCTTCGGCCTGAGAGACAGTAGGGCGAAGCTGGGAGCATGAGACTGTTAATTATGGTAAAACTACTATGATATGACATGGCTGGAACATGAAGCAATGCTCTTTTGCTTTGTCATGGCCTGTGCGCATGTATCCCACAGAAGGCATGCATGCAGTGGATGAATTGAACATCAATGAACAGACATGTCGACGTTTGCTCTGAACTGTTCACACGTAGAGCTCAAGCAATTTTCTTAATTAATATTGGGTCAGACTAACAGACCACTGCATGCATCGAACGTACACTGCCTGCCTGAAGGCGGGCACGAATGACATCGCGGATGACATCCATCTTTGTGTGACCAGACCTGGTACGGTTGCTGCCAGGGTTTGCCAAATCCTTTGGTCCATACTTCTGTAATGTTGGGCATTCAAAATCAACAGTGTTTGCAAGGTCATTTTGTACCTCCACAGTTTTATATCACATCATTTTGCACTGCTTAGCTTCGAATATTTAGTGATATCATCTATAAGATGGTGTGAGCTGCAAGTGCTTGAATGATGCAGGCGGCCTCGACTTGGTGTAGCGTTGAAACCGGTCCAAGCAGTAGCTGGCCAGGCCCCTAATGATTCCTCCCTCAACTTCTGCCCAAGCCTGTGTGGTTGAGCAGAACGGAACTCTTAATATAGATTTATTAATAGTGCGCGAGACGTCGTTATATTAGCTAGACCATATTTCGAAGACCTGGTATTAGTATGAATTCATGCAGGTTCCAACTCCAATCATGACAGGTCTTTGGCCAAGGCATATATGATCAAAGAACTTCATATCGATGAGTGAGTATTATCAGTGCAAATTTTATACCAATTTGATTGTGTCCTCTGACCACCACCAAGCCTTGTGACTCTCTGCATCCTTGTAGGGGTTCAATCGATAGTATTCTGAGACATAGGCCAGAGCTTCCTGTTCATGGATCAGAGCACATGCATGGATCGATGTTTTGGACCCTCAAAAAATAGATGAATCAAGATCGATCTAATCGTTCGAATCTATCGATGTCGACAGTGAATGGCAAGCACGTGTGTACTTCAGGTGTCTGAATTAGTCCACCTTGACTTCCAACGGTTGGGGAAGGTCATGACAAAAGGACGCCAAATACTCGAGGAGAAAGCCGTGGTTGTGGTCACTTTCAGCCTGCATGCATGCTAGGTGCAGCTAGGAAGTCTGGTGTGTCTTGGGGCACAGGATTGTACATTCAATTTGAGTTCCTGAATTCCAAGGCTAGGGTTTCGATTGCTAGCCACTTCGCGCTCCAAAGACTGCAAGTTAATTATTCGAATTCTCACCACTGGCATCATGTCATCGTGCGATGAAAGAGGCCTCCCGGGATCCGATGTGCTTGCGCCCCTTCTCCACAATCACAAACTGCCATTTTGGGACCTGGGCAAAACGATGCAAAAAATGCTCAATCAGGTCTTCCACGATCGATCTATTAAAACGTTGCAAGATAGGAACTAGGTCAGGGAGTTGCTTCATGGATATAGTACTGTTTATAGTAAATTGCTAATGGCCTCAACTCTGGGTATTGCATGGTGGGTGCATACAATAAAAAAGAACAATCCTGGCAATTGGCAAGGACATGCTAGCAGACTTCGCTGTGGTCAGATGCATGGGTGGTGTGTGATCTTGGACACATGCCACATATATAAATTAAATATCAACAAGTTCCCCTCCCCAGCTCCATGCACAAATTCTCAGGACATGGCTTTGAGCTTGTCCCGGTCAGTCAGACCAGCACGCTGGCGCAAAAGTTTGCGTCGTTTCTCCAAGTAGGAATCTGCCTCCAAGATGTCCATGAGAAAGGCCTCCCACTTCAGGATTCTCCAACAATACGACCCTGCATTTGTTCAAAAACAAAAACTCAAAATTAATTATTAAGACCAATCCAAACTTGATCCTTTATACATGCGTTGGCTTTTCTTGCACTCTTTCATGGGTGAATCAAAAGGTAAAAAACAATGCCCTGGGTATAGTAGCATTAGGCCTAGCCTTGAGATGATCTACACGCTGAGCTCGGGGTGACTGCTCCATGGCCACTGGTGAGGAGCACTGCTGCGTGTGAAGATTCTGAAGGAATCACACAGAACCTTAAAATGTTCATAAAAAATTGCACACCTGCCACATTGCTTGGGCCCATGCTGTATGCAGCTCAACACTTTGAAAGCTGAGCCAACAAACAAGTGCACATCGATCTGCAGGAGTAAACTGGACCGATGCAAGTTGAAACCTTCATCCACCCAAGGTTTAAACGTTTGATCTGGAAAAACAAAAACACAAATGCACATCCAACTCTACATGACAAGATTCTTGCCTTGTACAATTCCTGGCACTTTCTAGGCCAGGGTGTTTGAGAAGTTACATCAATGAATCTGCACTGGCTGGGGGCAAGCGTACCTGCTACAGCATCGATTAGGTCCAGATCGATGGTCTGCTGAGCACTGTCTGCTACACCTGATGACTATGCATGCAGCCAAGTGCAAAGCACATCTACATCTCGATCTCGATAGATCAAAACAAACCAAATCATGACCATGAGCTACATAAAAAAAACAGTGCTCCTCCTACAAACTTGTCAATTTGCAACTGTGCACTGACTTCCAAGTGCATTCCAAGTTTGTTTATTCCTTCTTGCTGAGCATGTGTCTTCACCAAGCTCTGCACGTTGTTCATAAGCTCTCTTGGCAGAGGGCATCACGCAGTTCCATCACAGCTAAAATTGACAAAACGTGGCAAAACTACAAAATGAACAGGAACATGGATGTCCAAAACATTGTCTGTCCTGCCCCTGCTTCTCATGCAAAAGTTAAAAGGGCAACACATCTCATTGTGGCCATCTCTCATGCATGACTCATGATCATTCTGCCACTCTTGATCCATTCCAGACGAAGGCACCTCCAATACTGTGAGTTCTGAGGCCACTGCCCAGGGGAAATAGTCGTTCATGCGATTTAATGGTCGCATTGTTGCAACTATTATTTTTATAGTTGCTGAAGGCCAGGGTCTAGCTCCAGTCTCCAGTTAGCTTTAGTGGAGCTAGAGCTAGGCTAGAGCTATGCTTCACTCATCACTCATCACTCATGCGTCTGACTGAGGGACACGAGGGACACGCGTGGTGGAAAGAACCGGGACACTCCTACAGGTCAATTTGTTCTTATAGGAAACTTCCGCCGCCGGCTTGCCCGGGAACTACTTGTATTCATATGATAATACAAGTTTTAGAATTTTTTTAGAAGACAAACTTTATCGTTTAATGAACACAACATATGTAACAAATGCTGTATCGACAATATTGCAGTAATGAAGATATCTAAATCACACACACACATGCTTTAAACATTGTTTAACAACAACCAACACCAAGCATTAAAAAACATTAAAAACAATCACGAAGAACCAAATATTGTTGATGAGTCGTAGAAGAAAGGCTGATTTTGTGTTCTTGGCCTCCTCGGTTCTTGCAGTCAAAACCTTTCACCCGATACAACTGGTCCACTTGTCACTCTCCAGACTTGCGTAGATCCACCCAGACTTGCGTGACGTGGGTGGAGGTCATAACCCTAAAAGTCAAGTCGACCATTTTGTAGAATGGGAATAGCCTGGTGTTACTGCACAATCGTAAAACAATGGTTCTTCGGGAGAAACCAGCGCTTCTGAAAAAAACCGATGGACGGACCGACCGCTTCACCAGCGCATTCGACCAGCTGTCTCGATGGCCTTCGATGGCAGCTTCGTGTGCAGCTTCATGCATATGAGACGGAAAGGTCGTCAAGTCGAAAAAGAAAACACCCCCCCTCTGTAACAAGGGTTTGTATATGTTTGTACCCTCAAAACCCTTGTTTTTGAGGGTGCGGATCCTTAGGGCCCTAAGAATCGACCCGACCACCACTTCTGGAGGCTTTGGACTTTGGACGAACTGCAGGTTCCGCAGGGGGGCCCGACAGGACTCCTTCACCAAAGCTTCACCGAACTGAGGGTCCTTGATTCTTAGGGCCGAAACTGTTTCCTATTGGATGGCACGAGGACTGGCACAAGGACTGCCAGCCCCTCGTTTCAGGACGAACAACTGATGATGTTGCCCGGGATGAGCTCTTCGTGCATCATCATGAGGAAGCCAATGGCCTTTTGCCTCACGTTCCACCCCAAAGGGCGTTCGCGATGTTTGTTTCATGGTTAGGCTGGAGATGAACATGACGAGGTGCTGGAGGGAGCAAGTGAGCGTCGCCGGATATTTCCACACACTGGATCCTGCAACTCAGCAACATGTCTGCCTTTTTGGGTCGCTTTATAAATCCCCAGGGATCCAAGTACCTTCTCAGAATGTGATTGGAGACACTGTTATGTAGGTGCCAGGAGGGTCCAGTCGTACCTTCTGAGAGGGTTTTATACATGAAAAGGCAGAGCTGTTGCACAGTTGGAAGATCCAGGTCCCAGGTATCGCATTTCCCAAACAAAATTAGGTAGCCGGGTCGGGGAGCAACCACGGGGTCATTCCCAAACCTCAACAGCAGGAATGAAGAGATACATCAGTCCCGGACGTCAAGAACCTGACCCAGATCAACCTGGTCTTGAACACATCCTGTGTCCGTCGTGTTTTGGTATGAAACACACGTCCTGGTTCCTACCCAAACACATCGATCCCTAGGACTGTCAGGACGGACTGCCGCCGTTTTGAGGCCGACCCTCCTGGCACGCACCACCTTTGGCGGCAGTCCGTCCTATGAGGTGGTCGTGGGATGGGTCGTGTGTTGGAAATCGCCCCCCTGTCTGGCTTCTTTCCTTCCGAGACGCGACCCGGTCGGACCTACACAGAGTCCTGTGGAGGGGGAATCCTCTGGAGGGGTCAGGGGTCGAAGCAATCCCCAGGTGTTGAGGGACCAGTCGGGCTGTGAACGGAGCATCTGGGTTCTTCCACTTTCACTGGGAGGTCGCCATCTTTAAATAAGCGTGAACCATGCTGGAGGATTCTTCCTTGGCCAAACAACACATGAAAAATAACACCACTGTTTGGTCATGGTCTGTCGTCAAAGAATATCTTTTGGGCACACTTGGGTGTGAAGAGCCAGCAGAAACACCAGCTCTTGTGTGTGTGTGTGTTTTAACGAACAATTTCAATATTGGTTGGATGATCTACCTATCCCTAAGAATCCTTGGGCTCTCCATAGCAGGGGTCGGACCCTCCATAGCAGGGGTCCGGGCCCTCAAAACCCTATGTGTTTGAGGGTCCGGATTCTTATGAATATTGGAAAACTCACATAGACCCTGACGTCCTGGTCCCATGGAAGATGATTTTCCTGTACCAACAGGGGGGGTTTTCAGGTTCGCATCGTCTTCCAGGGTGTAAACTTCTTTGATGACTGGACTGTTGATGTCAAACTGATCTACTGATCACCACTTTCTCTTCTTCAGCATTTCTTCACAAGGCACCGGGGTAGATCTCTGCGTTCGGATCCGGATTTTCCTCGGGGTAGATCGGTGCCGACCTCTCCAACCCGGTGCCATCCCAGTTGCCACTCCAAAGACTTCTCACAGGAGCTCAGGAGTGCATTGGAGCCTCGGCGCATCCGGCAGGTCGCCGCATCCGTGCAGGTCGGCGGTTCAGATACCATTGACATCCATTTGACCAGATCCCCTGGAAGTCAAGTCGACCAGATCCCTGGTTGATCTGGTTTGGTAGTGTAAAAGCCTTAGTGAAGCAGCTCGGTGGTTCGGGATGCCTATTAAAGCAATGGTGGGCCACATACCATCCATGGGATATCCCAGACCATCATAATACCATCCATGGGACTGACCATTTCCGTCTCAGTTGGGGTGCTGAACCGGGGGTCTGGCTTGATTCCGCAAAGGTTGCTTCCAGTCACATGGATGGTCCGGGCATTGGTTGTATACCATTTCAGGGGGGGACCAGGTGTTTTTAGGGCGACCAGGCCTTCATCAGCTTCAGGTCTGGGTGGCTGGGACCAGACGTGTCACATGCTGCGAGGAACAGGGAGAATCAGCTTGGAACATGGAGATGCGAAGGAACGTTCCTTCAGCTGAGAAAGGCAGAAAGGCCGGGAAATCATGGATTCATGATAGGAACGTCCTTGGATTCATTGATGGATCCAAGGCCAAAGACTCAGGAATGCCACAGATGGATGGAGCCTTTTCAGAAAGGTGTTTGTCATGGGCTTTCTAGTCTGTGTTTCCTCTTAAAGCTGGTCATCACGGGTCTTTCGGCAAACCGAAGCAAAGCTCACTTGGAGGAGCTTCAGCTACATCGAATACCACCCCCAAGAAAGGCGTTGGAACATGATTGAAGGAAACAAAACTCAGCAAGTTTTTCTTGCACAATCGGATATCCTTCCTAGACACTCTCCAGTGAAGATGCACTTGCTAGCCTACTTGCAGAAACTTTACTTGCAGCTGGACAATCACTGAGTAGTCTGCAAACGAAGGGCTCAAAACACCTATGGAAAGGAGGGTTTCAGCATGTCAACACCGGACATGACAGCCCTATACATCCCCCATATGACAGCCCTACATCCGCCCGCCCGCCCCCACCTCACGGTGACAGTCCGAAATGGCCCAGACCGGTGAGACAGGTTCGGATGGATCACCGGAACCTGCACCGAACCGAAGACACCGCTATGGACGGTGCCGTCTCACCTGCTGAGAAGGTACGACTGGATCTCTAGGGCCAGGTCTTGGGATTGTTGCGGTTTCGATGTCCATGAAAACGCTCGGAGAATGCCACACTGCCACATGCCCGGTGGCACCACTTAAGAGGTTCGGGCATGTGGATGCCCCTCCAGTCCAGGGGGGTTCTCTGGTTCACAGACTCGCCTTTTGGAAACACCAACACGACCCCTGTTTTGGGAACATTGAAGCAAAGAGCATTTTTCAGTACCAGCGGGGCCCTTTGTGACCCGCTCTTACCCATGGCCATTATCTTTCTCGTGTCTTCTCCCTGTTTTGCTTCTCATCTCTGCCTCCATCGACACGCCAAAAACGTCGCCTTTCTTGACACATCACTTGAGTCTATCCCCTTACCATTAACTGTGGATGATGATGCTTCAGTCGCAGGCCGACATCTCTAAACTCGTGATCATTGCTTTTAAAGAGACTCCATACATCCACATACCACATACCCCCCATACCTCACTACCTACTTCAGCTACCAGCTGCCGCGTGGCTGATGACGTTGGGCTCCAAGTGATCTCGAATCATCTCGAAGAAATGTAAAGCCAGCTGCCACTGCCGACCCTTCTCGCATGAGCCTCGCTGCTTTCACGGCCGGTCGGAGCCGTCTTCGGCTCTTCTTCGGCGGAGCCGGTCGGCGGAGCCGGTCAGGTCCCAAGAAAACGAGGACCTGGGGACTAGGACCTACTGTCGGGGGTGGTGAAATGGACACCCCTTAACCTCTATATATAGGGGATATCAATAAACACCGCTGTCGGGGTGTCCTGGGATATTGTTGAAGTACCCACTTGAAACATTTCCCTAAGGGTCCTGGAGCATTCATTTCTCGGATGTCCTGCTGTCGGCCCCAGTTCGACCCTGCTCAGGAAGTACACACTCACCTTCGTTCGACCATCCGATGGTCGATGGTCCTGGACCCTTAGGGTATGTCATTGGTAGGCATTTTAACATCATTGGATCCGCTAGTCGAATCCTCCGAAGTCCCAGACGCCGGCAGACTCGGTCTGCCGAGTCGGACGGAAAATAAAACCCTTAAGGCTGTCTGTTCAACTTCGATCTGCAGGACCTTGCTGACATCACCTGGGCTTTTGCAATCAGAACTTGCAGAACTGGCAATTGGTGGATGGTCAAAACCTGCAAACATCTTGCAAATGGTCTGGGCCCGTGTAGGTCCACCGGCTCATGGTGTCCGCCCATGGTGACGTGGTCGTCGATGCGCACTCCAAAGTCACTCTTTGGTCACAAGAAATGGGCAATCATGAAATGTGGGAATCATGAACTCCAAACATTCTTGTGTTTCTTGATGATTCCCCATGTTTTCTCCCTCAATATTGAACTACGGACGGAGCAAGGACGCTAATGAAAGGGGCTCCTGGCGTTACTACTAGGAGCAAAGACGCTACTAGGAAGAAAGGGCATCGCTACGAACGGAGCTTTAGTACTGTATTTGGCGTTTTGGCCACCCAACACTGCAGGAGTGGTGGCCACCTTTGGGGCACCGTGATGGGGGGGAAATGACAAAAAACACCTCTCCGAAGATGTTTCAGGGAGACCAACCACAGGCGAACCTACCTGGACCCTCCAAAGTCCCCGAGAACATGGGGCGAACCTCATAAGTCCCTCTCAAAGCTTATAAGCACTTGTTCCATCTTGTATACCCATGTTTCAGAGAACTTTGAGGGTCCAAATACAAACAATGGATCATTCCCATCCTACTGTTCTAAAGATTACATTACAGGACATCACTGATGATGAGGCTCCATGAAGGCCTGTTCAAAAGGATGTGATGATTCTTTTCGAAATCACCTGTGATGCTGAAATCACCTGTGACCCCTTCAGTTTCCTCTGTTTATAGCCAGGAGCTGATTAAGGCGTTGTAGCTCACCAAATCCAGCTCCATCTGCTGCAAATCTGAGTAGGGTGCGGGTGGGGGTGCGGCGAGCGCCGCGGTGTCATTCTTTTTGTTTTTTACTTTGGAGGGTCATGCGGCATGGCCATGAACACATGTTCATGGTTTTTTCCAAACCAGCACCCGACTCGAAAACGCTCTCCGACCTGCTGGAGACCAAGAGGTGTTTTTCCGGCGGGCTCCATTGTCAGAAGCAGCGCTTGGTCGCCCTTCACTGCTGCAAACGCCGGTTTGTTACCCTTCGCTGTCAGAAGCAGCGGTTGTTATCACTTCACTGTCAGAAGCGCTGGCGGCCGAGCGGCTCGGGTGTTTGGTGTTACATGTTATACCACCAAAGGCAACCCTGAACGACCGGCTCAAGGACTCCTTGGACCCTCATATTTGATGGATCCCTATGGCAAGCACCCCCCACTCCTGCCCCCAGCAACAGACTTGGACCCAGCAACTCATCTGTTGGAACACTTGGAGCGCCATCTGCCACCGTGCCGACTTCTCGCAGCAACTGATCAAGGCCTAAGCTATACGGTGGATGGATCCATGGATCCCACGGGGTCGGATCTGTGTCGGTGGCCTGTCGCGACCGACGGACGACCGCGACGCGGGAAAGAACATGCACCGGTGGACAGCTCGCAGTGGACATCTGGGACTACTGATCCACGCACCAGTGCACCAGTCTCTCACCTCTCTTTCGCAAATTTGAAGCAGTTACCAGTACTGTGAAGGATGAACATGGCACCAAATGACCACTTCAGCATTGGTGTGTTGTAGGGAGGCCTCCCAAAGACCTTCCGGCAAAAGGGAAATAGACCCAAACCCATTGGTGGGTGCTCCATGAGCCATCTGAATACTGACTCCATCTGACTGCCTGCCATTCGAGGTGCATTGCAGGTCAACAGGTTCGGCTGAAGCAGCAAATCCTCCTGCCGTGCTCGGATCCGCTGGCGAAACCCCGCAAAGCCCGGCCGGTCTGGGATCAAACCCTTTGAGAAGCTTGATCATGGGAACCCTGGGATGGCGTGGCCCCCAATCAAAGACCACCAAATCCTCTACAAACTAAACCCTACAAATCCCAAGATCCCCCCCCAGACGCTCCGTTCACAGCCCGACTGGTCCCTCAAAACCATAGGATTTGAGACCCCTGACCCCTCCAGAGGATTCGGGTCCGACCCCTCCAGAGGATTCGGGTCCAGGGTCGCGTCTGGGCCGGTCAAAACCGGGTCCTTGACCTCCATGTTTACCCTGATTTTTTGGCATGACCAACTCAGACCAACGTCCATGTGAGGGCCTTGTCCACTGAACTAGCAGCAGTCGGCAGTCGACTGCTGGCGGACTGCCCAGACGAATGGCGTGGAGGGTCCGACGGTTGGGGACGTTGAAAAGGGGTGAATATACCCCAGAGACTCCATCGGACTGCCATATCGATCAGGCCAGGGGTGGTTTTGGGGGTCTCCGCGAATTGGTCTCCGCCGCTGTACCCAGACTCCATGGGACTGCCAGGACGGACTGCCGAGAAACGGCCAGGGGTGGTTGAAAGGGGGTCTGTCTCAAACGGCAGTCCGTCCTGGCAGTCCCAGACAGGTCGTGTCTGGGTAGTAATATGGTGAATGGGGTGCCGAGTGCCATCGTTGTGTCGTACATGGTGTACGTATACAGAAGGCTTCCCAGGCTTCAAATCATGGTGCTTTTCTCCGATTTCGAGGGGTGTTTTTGGGTGACCGGCCCAGCGCCGTCTTCCGCGCCCCCACCGGTCCAGCCGCCAGTGGCGCCCGCTCCCGCGCCGCTCCCGCGCCGCAGACCGGTCCATCTGCTGGAAGAAATGCAGCGCCAGTGTCCAGTCACTCCCGGACGCGCTGATCACCTGCGGAGGTGGAACGTGGAACGTGTGGAACGTGGAGCTAAGCAGATATTGGGACCCAATTGCTACCTTTCTTGCTTTTACTTCTTCTTGTTTCTAAGAGCAATGGCCTCCAACCTAGTAGCGATGGCCTGCAAGAATCCCTTCAACCTCAGATCTTCACAGTTGATTCTATAGTGATGTTGACAGCCTCAAAAGTCAAAAAGTCAAGTTCTTTTCAGGCTCTTATTGCTGCACTGTCAAAAACTCTGTTGCTTCGTGAATCAGACACCTGCACGACTCGTTGGTTGGTTCACCTTGTGGTAGTTGGTCGGTCAGTTGCGGTCTCCTTCTTTGTTTGGAGTCTTCTAAGCTTCGATCACAGCAAGTTGGACTCTCAACCCCCTGTCGGTTCTCCCCACCCACGCTACCAAAGAAGTGAGACTTCTTTGGAACATTTTTTGTTTAACGTGCCCAAGGTTGCATGGTTCAATCATAGGGTGGCCCACACCCTTTCATTCGCAGGAATTCCTATAGTGGGGATCCAAATTTCAAACACCTATGGCTATGGTGTGCATTCGATTTGGGAGACCTCCCAGTTCCCCTGGTCTCCCTACTGAGGTGTTGGGAGATCCGCGAGGTTTGCTTTCAAAGTTGAAAACAACAAACAACCAAACAACATGTGTTTTCTGTTTTGCCCTGTGGAAGACCATGAACGCCTCCCTTTGCCCTTCCTTTTGGGCACCTGCTTTTGGCGTTGCCAGCTTCAAACGTTGAGTAAGGTCCGACCACAGCCGTGTGCAAACTCACTGCAGATCTTCAAAGGTATAGCATGGCTCCACCTCTAATTCTTGTGGGTCCCAACGTGCCATTGTCTAAGGGGATGGTCATGTCAGCTGATCTCTCTTCACGGCCCCCGATTGGCTCCACCCTACGAATCCAGTCGTACCTTCTCAGAAGGTGGGACTGGGGTGGGTGCCAGCAGGCTCCAAATACCTTCTCAAAAAGGTGTGACTGGATCCCTAGGGCACTTGCTGTTCTGGAATTCCGAAGTCACTGCCGCCGCCCGCCCTGTTTCAGGCCCACCACCCACAACCCACGCCGGCGCCCTTGGTCCAGGTGGCGGAGCCGAAGGTGACGACGCTCGGAGTGTTCCGCCGCCGCCGAAGACCTGGGAGCGGGTTTCACCCGACCAGACGACCCTTCAGGGCGCAAGGACGTCAGGAGCAAGACGGACCCGACCTGAGGTTCGAGGTCCTGAACGACATCTGGTCCGGTCTGAGCACGAACTGAACATGGACTGGAGGGACCGAACTGAGTCGTTCAAAGAAAGACCACGGATTTCCAGACGACTCGCCGAAGGAACGAAAGTCCTTCAGGTCGCTGGAGTCCGGATCCCTAATGGATCAAGATGTTGTGCCTCGAAACCCCGAAGAAAGACCCGGTGAAATCCACCCACTCGGCTCATCGTGACCGAATGTTGTCACCAGAATTGTCACGTGACCTCGAGAGGAATGTCAGACAGTATGTCATAACCAATGTGCTTCACACATCCTACTTTGGGAAAGTAACGATTCTGCACATCAAAGTACTTTGGGACTGGTCGAATCTCGGATTCTTATCGGTCTTCCAAATCAGCTGGGTGTGCCGTCTTCCCTCTGCGTGAGCCCACTCTGCTTCGAGCAAAACTTACTGGACTGGTCTGCACCGCAGACTGTGAGATAGGTGACGCCGTAACAACAAAAAAAACTGATTGGTTTGCTGGGTCGTCAACCCATCCTTCGTAAAAGATTTTTTTGGGCAAACACATGCATAAATTAAGTTGTTTAAAAACATATAAATAAGTGGTGGTTGGAATCCTCTATAGGCATTTCAGTTGCCAAGATGCTATCAAAGAGATGCACAGCCAGCTGCCTGGTGCGGCAAACAAGCTCTACAGGAGACCCCACAGAACCCGGTATACGGCTCCTTTTCTCAAAGGGGAGTAGAATGAAGTGAGAAGGTGAGTCAATGGCCCAATCACTCGACACACCGTGTAAGTACAACAAATATGGCCAGTTTCGCAATGGACTCCGTCGTATCTTTTCCAACTGCGCACCGATTCGCAAGGGGACCTTTGGCTAAGCAAAAGGTCCTCGCCTCTAAGCACCTGCAGCACCTGCAAACTAACGTGGACCCAAACATGTTCCTTGACGTCTCCGAGCCGAGGTGGCCTCAGGGTCCATGGTTTTCAGGGGGGAAGATACTCATCCTGGTCCCAACCCCCTAACCGTACACACCACACTACCAGGCCTCACTAAAATCATCTAAAACCATCTGAGTGCCCTAAGCGCAAAATCAGTGGTGAGATTCGTGTTGCGGGGGTGTTTGGAATTACTCGGCAATCAATATATACTCAAACCGTTCAAGTTCTATCTTTTGCGGTGGAGGTACCGCGCGCAAAAGAAGGCTCACGAAAAGGATCGAAAAGGTATATACCAACATGTACCACTGCAGTGCCAACAAGTCATCAGGTCGTTTCAGCAGTCTGAGTGCGTTTTTCCGGTGGAGCCTGTTCTGTCCCATGTCCCTTTCTAATAACCCCTATAGAAGTCCAGTTCGACGATTTTGGGCACCGTACCGACAAGGTTCGGGACCCTCCTGGGCCCGACTCACCCGGGACCTCGGCGCCTACATCACCCTATCCCAGACACTCCATGTATGCCATATATGCCTACATTGACCCCCCAAACCACCTCAACTGATCGGCATATATGGCAGTCCCATCAGTCGTGTCTGGATCCATTTTCGTACCGAACCTCCAGTACGGTGATGTCTTCGACCGCCCTGCGCCAGGCGCCAGGGTCGGATCCCGAACGGCTCCGGCTTGCGCAAGCTCAAACGGATCCGGGTCGACCGCTGTGCCGGACCGGGACGGGTCGTCCCGAGTCAAACCGGTGCGGGGACTGGGTCGACGGTCGTTCCTTCCGTCGTGGCGAGGTCAAAAGTGCACGTGACTCCAACGATCCATGGGATTGGCCGACCTGGACCCCTGGGGTCAAATGATCGGCAGGCATACCTTGTAAGCATATATATTCCAGTCCCATGGATCATGGATGGTCTTGGATTGTGCGGAACCGTGCAAAAAACAGGCCAAGGGTGCCATTGATTGCCATCTTGACAAGAGCTGATAGCAGCATTGTAGCTGATGAGGTCGGGCAAAATGCCTCGTTTCGCACAAATGGTTCAGGTGAGGCATGTCTGGGCATGTAGGGCCTGAACGATCTGGTGCTCTCAAATCCAGCAGGTTCAGCACCGCACCTCAAACTGTCCACCATATATAGCTGTGTTTGTTTTTTTACTTTTGGTTTGGGCCGCGTCAGAACTTGGACAAAAAGGAAAACATGGATGTAGTTTCTTCCATCGCGTCCGAGGTCGCTTCGGCGTCCCAGGCGTGTGCGCCCCATGCCGTTTCTCCACGGCCGTGTTCTACGGCTGAGAACGGCGAACGGGTGTTGCCCGTCTCGGCGTGACTTCCGCGGCAGAGGCATCTGAAACACTTCAACAGAGGCACTCTGGTTCCTCATCTCTTCCAAAAGGTGCAACACCAATGGCCACTGCGAGCTCTTGTCCTCATGTTTCGAAGCTGTGGCTCCGGGGGTGCGCGCGGCGAGGTCCAAAACGACCCCCCATGATTGGCGACCCAAATGACACGATGGAAACTGCTTGAAACGCTGAAGCGTCCCAAAAACCTAGAATTGTTTGTTTGGTCAACAAAAATGTTATAAAACCAAAGGCAAACTGAAGGTCCAGACTCGAAACCGAACTGGGCAATAACCAAAGTTTGCTGGTCAACGATGTGTCCGACCCTTGAAAGAAAATCGAGGGTCTCGATGCCTGCCAAATACCAATTGGTTGTACACGACCCCGGGGTATCCCCTCTATTCATTCACCAACGAAAAAGACCGTGCTGGTCAAACCAAGCTGATGTCCATCGACAGGCAAAACATGTGCGGCACTCACAGCGATCTGAGGATCACAGGTGGCGATCAAGGAATTGTAGCTCACCAGGTTAGGTTCAGGCCCTTCGCCAAGCAACAGATCAAAGGCCTTCCGCAGGAAAATGTTGGAAGGCGCAGGAGGACGGAGCCCCTTTTCAGTGGGTCCACTGCATGAAATCCATAAGTTGGATAGGACTGGTGGCGATTGCGACATGCAAATGAGTGAGTGCCTAAACTTCCAATTCCTGCCACCATTGGTTCAATTGTTTTTTACATAAAAACATGTTTTATACTGGAGTTGGGACAAAGAAACCAAGTCAACCTGGTAGAAAAGGTCTTGGAAGGCTAGGGTACAACAAAAGGAATTCACGGTAAGATGGCGTGCAAATTACTTCACTTCAAGTGATCCCCACCATGACAATTCAATCTGACAAATTTTCGGCATGTATTGAAACATATTAGTTCGGCATTCTTTCTGGCATTCTGATATTCTTTCTGACATTCCTTCTGGCATATCTTCTGGCATTCTTTCTGACATTCTTGCTGGCATATCTTCAGACACTCTTTCTGACATTCTTTCTGGCACATCTTCTGACATTCTTTCTGGCATATCTTTTGACATTCTTTCTGACATCCTGTCTGGCATCTCTTCTGCGTATTTTCTGACATTCTTTCTGGCGTTCTATCTGGCATATCTTCTGACTCGCGGTTGAGGTCCGGTGGGGAACAGTGCAGTCGGGAGCTGGCGGTTGAGGTCCAGCAGGGAACACTGCTGTTCGGAGCTGGCAGTCGAGGTCCGGCGGGGAACGCTGCCCCCCGCCAGACGCGAAGTAACTGACATAAAACCTAACAACCCTCACCTGACAGGTCGGTAAAAAACCTCGTCAACAAAGCAAACCATAAAATCTACAGAAATGATCATAAGTAGGCCATATGCAGGAAACGGCAAAGACATCTTTTAGTCAACTGCCCTGCGGTAGCCACATCTTGAAATCGTGGTACTAAGTATTGGGAGAGAAGAGCCATGCAAAATAGAGAGGCGTCAGCTAAAAATGCAGGGCATTCGCACCACGCCTGTGAAAAGGCTGGGCAAGGTGCATGTATGCGTGCAGGTGCAGATTTAGAGGAAAGGTGTTGGGACTCCAACTTGTTCCCAAGACTTTGAATTCGTCCCAAAGAGCCTCTAAGCCCTCCATGTCGGGCCGCCAGCTCCTTGAATTGTAGGGGCACGAAATTTCCACACCCGGGAGGCCCCTGGCTCCTCTTCTTCAGCAGCCTCCTCGGCGCATGCGTCTTCTTCGGCAACCTCGAAGGTGGCCTTGAAGTCGCGCATGGAAGAGTCCAGAGCCTCACGGTCTCCAGGACAGGCCGGCGGAACCGCGGAGATCCATCATGGAGGGAAGTGAATTCCTCGACAACCTCAAAAGCCTTCGCGCTTGGCAAAGCCCACGGTCACCTTGGCTGCCCACATCACATACATGAAAACTCGCACAGTTGCAAAGGGGGGTTGCATCCTCAACTACATAGGGACCCATCTTGACGCCTGACACCTGAGCCAGGTTTCGCGGACGACACATGGCCGACATAGGAGCGAACAACGAAAACAGAAACTCTTTGGTTTAGGTTGAAATTTTTGGGAGCCGTCGTGAAGTTTTACAAGTCAGGTGCCCTAAGACTCCAAGAAGCCAAGAATTAGGCTGCCAGCAAAAAGGCTGCCAGCCTAAAATCAAGGCTTTTGCATTTAGGCTTCCAAAAAAGACAGAAGCCTAAAATCTAGGCTGCTAGAAAACATCAATTTTTGGCTGCTTTTGCTTCTCAACTTGTCCACATTCTGTCATGTTTTTGTGCACATGTGGCACAAAAGATGTGTGAAACTTTGCTGGGTGAGACTTGGTCCTAGCCTTGTGCAGGCCAACTTCATGTCCATTGTGTTGGAACATGTGAAACTTGGGCACGATGTGCAATATTTTTCCTTCTGGGTTGTATCTTCGAGCTTCTCTCTCCAAGGCCATATACTGACCAGCCACCTTCTGGCCATATGTGGGCAAATCTTGAAGCTGATTTGTTTCCATGCACATGTATACTTGTGCCAAATATTACCATCAGAAATATATTTTCCTGTGAGGATTTGCAATAATGAGATGAAATGTCGGATTTGTGCTGCCAGCCCCTTCAATGTGGGGACAGGTGGGCCTGAAGATGAGCTGGCACCAGGTCCCTGACTGTGGGCATCCTGTTGCACCTCCAAGGCAAGCGCAAGAGAAGCCACAACATGGCCTTGCACAGGCCAGGCATGCTGCCCCAAGTGCAAACCCTGGGTTACAGGTCGGTTTGAAAGCTTGAGCCAGAGTTGCTGCTCAAAAAAAAGCAGTGATGCAGGTGGAGTGAGCATGCTAATGCATGGTAAAAGTCACCGTGCAGTTGAAAAACACATATGGCTTTTTCAAATTTATATACACGGTTAAAGAAAATATATTTGCATATGCATAAAATCTACAGAAATGATCATAAGTAGGCCATATGCAGGAAACGGCAAAGACATCTTTTATTCAACTGCCCTGCGGTAGCCACATCTTGAAATCGTGGTACTAAGTATTGGGAGAGAAGAGCCATGCAAAATAGAGAGGCGTCAGCTAAAAATGCAGGGCATTCGCACCACGCCTGTGAAAAGGCTGGGCAAGGTGCATGTATGCGTGCAGGTGCAGATTTAGAGGAAAGGTGTTGGGACTCCAACTTGTTCCCAAGACCTTGAATTCGTCCCAAAGAGCCTCTAAGCCCTCCATGTTGGGCCGCCAGCTCCTTGAATTGTAGGGGCACGAAATTTCCACACCCGGGAGGCCCTGGCTCCTCTTCTTCAGCAGCCTCCTCGGCGCCTGCGTCTTCTTCGGCAACCTCGAAGGTGGCCTTGAAGTCGCGCATGGAAGAGTCCAGAGCCTCACGGTCTCCAGGACAGGCCGGCGGAACCGCGGAGATCCATCATGGAGGGAAGTGAATTCCTCGACAACCTCAAAAGCCTTCGCGCTTGGCAAAGCCCACGGTCACCTTGGCTGCCCACATCACATACATGAAAACTCGCACAGTTGCAAAGACAGGGTTGCATCCTCAACTACATAGGGACCCATCTTGACGCCTGACACCTGAGCCAGGTTTCACGGACGACACATGGCCGACATAGGAGCGAACAACGAAAAACAGAAACTCTTTGGTTTAGGTTCAAATTTTTGGGAGCCGTCGTGAAGTTTTACAAGTCAGGTGCCCTAAGACTCCAAGAAGCCAAGAATCTAGGCTGCCAGCTATAAGGCTGCCAGCCTAAAATCAAGGCTTCTGCATTTAGGCTTCCAAAAAAAACAGAAGCCTAAAATCTAGGCTGCTAGAAAACATCAATTTTTGGCTGCTTTCGCTTCTCAACTTGTCCACATTCTGTCATGCTTTTGTGCACATGTGGCACACAAGATGTGTGAAACTTTTCTGGGTGAGACTTGGTCCTAGCCTTGTGCAGGCCAACTTCATGTCCATTGTTTGGCAACAAAAGCATTGTGCTTGGGGCCTTGCTCAGGCCAGCTGCAGCCCTGCCACTAGTCCAATGGAATATGTGGGAACCTGGTTTCTTGCTGAAGTCTCAGCAACCAATTCTCTGCATTTTTGGTTGGGTTATTGGCACCTCCCCTTCTGACAAAGAGGCTTGCCAAGGTCCCTCCACAGTTTCATCGCGATAGCACCAATACAGTAATCCTTTGGTGGGTAGGGTGCTTCACAAATATGTTGGAACATGTGAAACTTGGGCACGATGTGCAATATTTTTCCTTCTGGGTTGTATCTTCGAGCTTCTCTCTCCAAGGCCATATACTGACCAGCCACCTTCTGGCCATATTTGGGCACATCTTGAAGCTGATTTGTTTCCATGCACATGTATACTTGTGCCAAATATTACCATCAGAAATATATTTTCCTGTGAGGATTTGCAATAATGAGATGAAATGTCGGATTTGTGCTGCCAGCCCCTTCAATGTGGGGACAGGTGGGCCTGAAGATGAGCTGGCACCAGGTCCCTGACTGTGGGCATCCTGTTGCACCTCCAAGGCAAGCGCAAGAGAAGCCACAACATGGCCTTGCACAGGCCAGGCATGCTGCCCCAAGTGCTAACCCCGGGTTACAGGTCGGTTTGAAAGCTTGAGCCAGAGTTGCTGCTCAAAAAAAGCAGTGATGTAAAAGTCACCGTGCAGTTGAAAAACACATATGGCTTTTTCAAATTTATATACATGGTTAAAGAAAATATATTTGTATATGCATGTATTTTGTAAAACCACATGTGGTACGAACCATTCCCTTACTTTTAGGTTATGTTTAAGAAAAACAAAAATATGGTATCTTTCTATTATTACATAATACTAAAATGTGTAATATTAACTACTACATTTTTAACTATGTTCTGGTTGTTTATTGTGAAATCTCCAAGCTAGTTGTCCACTTTGGGGCATCAAAGCCTTGTTCAGGCCACCCATCATGGGCCAAGCTTAGCCTTGGGACTTGTGTCTAAACAAAATTTAGAAGAGAAACTTCCGAGTTACGAACGCCAAGAGCAGCTCAGCTAATGCGGGGGTCTGCTACCCAGAAGATGCGGAATATTTATATTTTGTCTGTTATATAAGAAACAACGACCTGTAGATTTCTTGACTGTATACAAAAACAATTTGTAGAGATAGACAATTGATGCTTGATGATAATCTTAATAACATGTTGTATACAGTAGTCTATTACATGTATCGTACGCACATTCTATAGATTTTTGGTCTGCGAAATCTATCTATTGTACAGAACATTTGTATACAAGACTATACAAGTAATCTCCAGCACAGCTGGTGGGCGGAAGTTTCAGAAAAATGAATCTATAGGAAGAAGCAATTGCATTGCTGCCGACACATTTAACCAATGGTGTGTCTGATTTACTTTTTGATGACTCTTCTAATTGAATTCTCAACTTGTTGATTCTACTATTGATGACATTTCTATTGAAGCTCTACTTTTGACGACAATTTTTTGAAATCTCTCCTTTTGACGACTGTTCCATTGAAATCTATGCTCTTGACGACTTCTATTGACATCTCGAGGACTTTTCTATTGAATCTCTGCTTTTGACGACTTTTCTGAAATCGCTAACATGAATGCTCTTCTAGTTGATCACCTGTGTGCCATCCGTTTGCAAATTGTGCTTGATGTCAATCGGGCACGGTCAGAACATGGCATACATGTATACCCCTATAGGGCTCCTGGCCCATATCCTCAGGAGGTGGTTAGAGTCCGCTGGCACCCACCCCAACAATCTTCGAAACGGAGGTGGTTGGAGCCCTAGGGTACTTTTAATTGTGCCATCTTACCGTGAATCCTTTTGAAGAACTGAAACTTCCGATCGCTCTGAACGGATCTGTCAAAGTAGATACCCCCTGGCGGCCGTTTTTTGGTGCTCCTGAGCACGCTACAGAGCCACAGCTACAGTGGGTCGGTGAGGGTTGATGTGAGCGTCGAAGCTCCGGCCAAGCCCCTGGTTCTTCAAAGTGACCGAAGTTGATCCCCTGCTTTGAGGTCACTTAGCCCTGTGAAAGGTCAGGGGCGACAAAGAGGTCACTTCGAAGAAGCTGGCCAAGGATCTTCACTTGCAATGACTGTGGGGTCTGTGGGGTGCTGCTCCACAGGCAGTTTCAGGGACCCATCAAGGGGCCTGGCCCAACCAACTTTCTGCTGTTTGATGCAGAAATATGCAGAAATCAAAGGTCTCACACACCTACATGTTACATCTACTTGATTCCTTGTGTAACTCTTTGTGTCTTTGAGGACCCGGACACTCTGTCTGCCAAACTTCCCTGCCCAGCAACCTCGAACTTCACCTCCTTCACCTCACGGAAGGCCCCTCCATCTCCCATTCTGAGTCGCTTCGCGTCGGTTCCGCACGCAGCGCGCAGATCCTCCGCACAGCAGCCACTTCGCCTCCAGCGCCAGGAGCCACTGCGTGGCCTTCTCGAAGGAACTCAGCAGGGCCCCAAACGTCACCACGTCCGGCCTCGCCGAGGTCACGCGTTGACGTCGCGCGGGTTGATGTCACGTGTTGCGCACGTCCACCAATGCAACATCTCATGTTCAGCCATGGTATGTTTCGAGGGTATGATTCGAGCTATGTTTCGGATGTTGACCATGCGTCCTATCTTAAAGTGCTTAGCACGGTATTTCTGGAAGCCCCACCCGAACTGGGTGGTGGCTAGACATTTCCTGCTAAAAGGAGTCTTCGCACCAGTCCGGGAAAAATGAGAAGACCAACTATACTAAGACTATACTATGGCATCTTTACCTACGGTGTCATATTACCTACATTGGGGGTTGTTTCAGGGGTGAATGGGTGGCATCTATGCTCTACACAGAGTGTCCTTCTTGAAAGAATCCAAACGATCTCTCTTCTCCAGGGGAAGACTCCTCCCCAAGCCGTCCGCACCCAGGCAGCGCAGGGAGCTCGTGGAAGGCTTCGAGGGCCAAAGGCCATTGGAGACCTCGGCACGCCGGAGGTTTCGGCGCGACCGGGGGATCCAACAAAGGTGGAAGAACCCTTTTGACAGCTTTTGACCATCCCAGTTGGGCTCCCCAGGTTTTCCGGGTCCTTTTTCAGATCACTCAATAGCCTCTCTTGGGAAACAATGTACTTGCTGTGGTTGGCGGAGGAAACCCTTCAGAGGCAAGGACAACAACGATATGTGTGCGGCCTGTGCCGCGCTGTTGCGGGGACTTCAGGTGCAGGAGAAGTCTCGTTGACGTTGAGCAACAGAAAACCTGTGATTATCCGCCATCAAAGTGCGTAGGATCGCTTAAGCCTTTCGGTTGACCATAGGTGGAGGCGACTTTTGGGCATGAAATGACCCAGACTTCAAGGATATTAGTCATTCCCAGACACTCCATGCATGCCATATATAATATGCCTACATTGACCCCCCAAACCACACCAATGATTCAGTGTACTGACATCAAAAAAAAACATTGAGGGGGGTATCTTCTGAGAGTCAACTGGCCCCAGGGCTCCAGTCGTACCTCCTCAGGACTTTGCACCCTCCTGGCACCCACCTCAGTCCCACCTTCTGAGGAAGGTACGACTGGAGCAGTAGGGATGGTCTTTCGTCGAAAACAGAATCCAGGCCTTTCTCACAGGACGTGATCAGCGCGTTGGTGCTGATCACGTTGGGTTCCAGCAGTTCTCCGGACATGCGATGAAACCTGGGTTCCCGGCCGACGTTCCGGGTCGACGGGTTCGACGGCTTCAAAAGTTCGCCCATGCCGTCAAACGTCCCGGGCGCGAGGCGAGCTTGAGGCCCCCAGGAGCTTGATGGAAGTTCGACATGCCGAACTAACGCACCACCCCACGTTTCCACTTACATCACCGTCAAATTTGTGGTTTCTCTGAGCAAATCAGCTGGTGCTGTCAGTCTGAAACCATCCCAAGGACCAACAAAATCAGCCTACGATAGGATACCCTATGGATCCACATACCATAGGCGCCAGGGTCGGGTCCAATTGCCTTCTGAGAAGGTGGCAGTGGATCCATATGGGATAGATGTTCCATGCAGCCAAAAAAAGGCAGGCTTTTCACCCATCAGATGCACAAGGTCAATGGTTCATCTGCCCCCCAGGTGCACCGGCTCGGTCGATCCTGCCGCAGCTCGTGACCATCGGTGCCTTTCTCTGCGCCGCAGCTCAGTGCTACGCGGTGCCGACCGTCGACCGACCGTTGAAGGGGGTTCGGGGGGTCGCCGACCGTGGCCGTGGAGGTCGACATCTCGTTTTTTCCCATACCTGGAGCATCCTGCCTGGGTGGACAGTCCGTACTGGACTCGTCTACGACCACTGGATCTCTTTAAAAGGAGGACACCAGGACCTTCCCAGTCGAACTTGAGATCCCAGTGGCGGGTTGGTCACAAACAGGCCTTGATTTCAGGTCACGTATACCAATCCTGAAGAGGTCACTGAGAAGGTCCTGGCACCTTTTTTTGGGATGGTCCTCGTATGAAGTCGACAGGTCAAAGTACCAACCGAACGACCCGCAGACCTACAAACGTACCCTGTCACAGAACTTCGTTTCGCAGTGAAGGCATGGCTACTTCAAGTCAATCCGCCGGTGCTGAGTCAATTCTTCAGGTGTTGTTTTTAAAGAAACCAACAGAGGTTGAAGGACCCTATTGCCTATCCTACAGAGGTCACGAACCGTCCCTGAAGAGGTCACTTACAGACTCCAAAGAGGTCACGTACTGAAGGTCCTGGTCAGTTCTTTTTTTTTAAGAAACGATCAAGGAACATCTCGATGGAGAGGCGCCAACACCCGCAGCAGCTCATCGCGGCGCTGCAGCTGATCACATCCATCCGGACGGTGCCCCTCAAGAACGCGTGCCGTCAGAGGAGGACGGGGAGGATGGGGTGTGCTGGCTTCGCCAGAACTTGTGAAAGCCATGGGGGCCATCTGTCTGGATCGTTTGCCCTAGAAGGTTGGCTGCAAAATTCGCTTGTGTCCTTGAGTTCTATGTCCGGACTTGGATGGTGCTGCATGTACACAGTACCACCCGAATTGTTTGGCATAAATAGGCATCGATGCACGGGTCGTCATGCGAGATGGTCATGAAATATCTAACTCATCAAGCTGAATCCCTAGGGATCCAGGTTGAAGTACCAAGTCACCTACCCCAGACACGACGATCCCTACAACTGCCAGCCATAGGACTGCCGCCCCAGACGGCCAGACCCCCTGGCAGGCACCGCGTCCGGCCGTTTCAAAGGCATATGGCCCATCCCAGACAGGTCGTGTCTGGGTACTCGCCGCGTGACCGCTCGGACCTCCGAGGGATCCAGAGACCTTTGGCGTGACATGTGTGTTGATAGGGTAAAATAGGGAGACCTTCCAAAGACTTGGAAGAAGGGAAATAGACCCAAAAGCCGATTGGTTTGCCATTGTCCCTACTATTCAATGACACATGCCATCTATTTGGGGGGATCACTTTACGTAGGTCGCCGGTCTGTTCGGCCTTTCCACCAGGCTGTCGCCGTCCCAGGCACCCGGCCGTGTGAAAAAGCCGCCAAGCTCGCCTTGCTTCGCCGAAGGCCGAGGGGAGGACTGGAGAAGGCACGAAGGCTTGGACCAGCGAACTGAGCCTAGACGTCACTATACCCTGGAAGTCCAGTTCGACTATATATTGACCTGCTGCTGTAAAGGAAGTTCCCTTTGAGGTCCCCTAGTCAGACCATTCTTTTTACAGTCTTTGACTCCTAGGGTATAGTTGGGTGTGACAGGAAGCAAGTTATTTTTGGGTGCAGGCTGTGTGAAATCCAATTGGGTATACTATGTTCAACTCACAGGTCATCCGCATTTCTGTGGTAGCAGGTTTCCTTGGTGTCGTGCCAAATCATGGACATGCTAGCTGGCGACCATGAAGCTAGCGACACTGGCTAGCTGGCTAGCCCACTTGAGCAAAAGAGGGGAAACGACTGCCGGACATATATATAGCCCAAACACTCCATGGGACTGCCATATATGCCTCTCCATGGACCCCTGAAACCAGCCCACTGTAGGTATATGGCAGTCCGATGGAGTGTTTAGGCATCTATCAATCTGTTGTTCAATGACTATATTCGATCGTTCAAGTTTAGGTGACGAGTCATTGACACTTCTTCGTCAAGTCAGTCAACCACGCCGTGCCACGCCATGTTCCATATGCCACCCTCCCCTGGGGTCCGAAAACTGGCTCTCCTTCATCCCAGTCTCTGCCAGAGCTCCGACGCCATGACGGCGGTGCAGCTGACCGCGTCCGGGCGCCGACGCCAGCGGTGGAGCTGGGCGAAGAGGTCCAGGGCGATGGCCCAACGACTGGGATCGTTCATCTCGGCAGAATCGCGGGAGCTGTCCGTGAGAGGGTGCGACGCGCAAGCGAGCTGCACGGGGGATCGTACCGAGCATCCCGAAGGATCGTAACAACCCGGTTCGGGCTTCCCTGCTGGGCCGGGGGTCAGGCGCCTACGTAGATAGTCTCCCTGGTCACTCTACCGCAGAAGGTCACTGTGGATCGAATCCGCTCGAAAAAGGGAGCCATGCGGACTATAGCCGGTAGCCTACAGGGAATGGATCATCGAAGAGATACCGGCAGGAAGACGTCGGAAGGAGACTCAACTGGGTGGCACCAGCAGGTGAAAACAACACCTCCGAAATGAGGTACTGGAACCTGGTAAAATGTCTGTGGGAAGAAGGACTCTTCACCAGCAGTCACAAGACTGGGTGCCTATTGGAGGATAGGGGAGCCCAGAACATCCACTCACTTAGGGACTAAACACCACCCCTTTGTGACTCCCGCCCCATTGACCCCCCCTGGCACCACTCCTGGCCTGATCGGCAGTCCTATGGCAGTCCCAGACAGGTCGTGTTTGGGTTTTACCTTGGAAACACATCTGGTTTTACCTTGGAAACACTTGCACTCAGAAACAACATAAGGTGTTATTGAACATCGCGAAGGGAAATCCTTCCTGACCTTTTCGTTAAAGATGCAAGGAATAGCAACAATTAACAAGCCAAATCAGTGCTGAATCCCCAAACGGCTGCCTGCCTAAGGGACCCGCCGGTTCATCCTCCGAACGCTACAATTGGCAGATCAGCGGCGGCTCTCATCGCTGCATTCACAGAGATCAAGTCAGTTCGAGGCTTAGCCCTTAGAACCATGGCCGGCAGGAAGAACCCACGAAAGGTCCGCAAGTCATGGGCACAAGTACTTTCAGTCGGCACGAAGACTGTTCAGTCGTGGGTACGAAGACTGTAGCGCCCACACAGAACAAGTGGTCACGAACAAGTTTGACAACCAAAAGGGTGCCGAACGCTCGATGGTGACACAAAAACCACCCAAAACAACCACCTGGACCCTCCAAAGTAGTCTAGAAAATGCGATATATATATATATATATAATATATAGAACAATGAACCTATAAAAACAGGTACTTGATATCATGATGGTACTTGTACCCATTTTCCAAGTTACTTGGAGCCTCCATCTGTTTTCTTTTTTGCTGAGCTGTCATCTCACTTTGTCTAAACTTGGCATTTGCAGTAATTACTGTTCGCAGCAGTTCCTTGCGCCCAAAGCCCAGAACATTCACCTCGTCCACCTCCACAATTTGGAGACTCGTGGGGCCGGAGTCTGACCATTGGCAAGCAGGACACCTTTGAGTTCATGTGTGACAACAGTCATACCCGATCATATCCGGTTCACGAGCTGTTCTTTGCATCGCGCATGGATAAACCCCTGAACTGGCTGAAGGTCTTCCATGGGTCACCGTGGCGAGACTGGTCTAGGAGGGTGAGGCTGTCTTAGACATCAGGTAGGCCTAAGGAGTGAATATGGCACCTCACCCCACCCAACCATGGTCTGGGTTGGCAGCCCGAACAGAGGCATGTGGATCCATACCCTACGGGTCAGGAACTGACCTCACTGGACAGTCACTGGACGTATGTCATCCAACGACTGACCATTGTAGCTGTGGATCAGGGGCAAACCCTAAGGGTGCAGGACCATCCAAATCGGATGTCCTGCCAGGCCCCAGTTCGACCATTCTCAGTACGTTCACCTTGGTTCGACCATCCGATTTGGATGGGCCTGGACCCTGGACGGGAAAGTGGGGCATGGCGTTTCTTATCCCTCGACGGTTTCGGCCATGGCGTCGGAGGGCAGGTTCCGAAGCAACGCCCCGGTCGAAGGATTGGAACTCCAAGTTCAAACGCGTTCCAACTGGATCTTCCAACCCCAAACGCCGACGGGGGCGTGGACCCGGGACGTACGGAGGGACCGGATCTGGACCGGATCCCAACTTCACCAATCCCTAGGGTTTTGGGAGGGACCAGTCGAGCTGTGAAGGAAAACGGAGCGTGAGCGTCTGGAGGGGTTCCCCGGGTCGGTGTGGATCCATCAAACCGCCGCTTTAGAACAGGTCGCTCTGAAGCCCAAAGGCAGGGAACAGGTCAGAAACTGCAAGGCACTGCAAGGTCTTGTTCAATGCCGCTATTCCCTAGGGCTCCTGGCCCATCTCCTCAGGAGATGGTTAGAGCCCCCTGGCACCCACCCCAACCATCTTCTCGGGAGGTGGTTGGAGCCCTAGGGATTTGGTCTCTTGCTTCTCTAGCTTTCCCTTCCAGTCGACGTTCAGATCCAGGTCAGGACATGGCAGTTCCGTGGGAAGAGTGGCAGGGGTACCACGCGGAGACACCGTTCGGAGCGGCGGAGTGGTGGTGGTGGTGATGAACATGGACACCTCTCTAAGACACCTCGAGATGGCCGGGGCGGGTGATTTCCAGCACCCAAACACGACGGACTGCCAGGACGGACTGCCAGGCCAGGGGTGGTGGGCCAGACTGCTTGGTCTGGCCGTGTCTCGGCAGTCCGTCCTATAGCAGGGATCGGTCGTGAGAACGGGTGTGATTTCCAGTTGGGGTCTTTCATGGGGCCTGCAAGCTATAGCTTCTTGTTCCGTTCGTAGCGATGGCCTCCAACCTGCTTTGCGATGCCCTCCAACCTATATACTTGCGATGGCCTCCAACATCCTCCAACCAACTTGCGTTGGCCTCTATAGTAGCTTCTACAGTCTGTAGTCCACTGTCACTCCATCAGTCGCGCATCCCCTCCCTCGATTTCGCCCAGACTCAGCTGGAAGACACTCAAGGCGGCTCGCCAGGAGCTCTGGCGGCCGCAGAGGCTGATCAGGCAATTCAACCCATTCAGGTGCACTTGCAAGGTCTGCTCTCCTCACGGAACCAAGTCCCAAGTCCAATCACTTCCACATGGAACAAAGAATAGGACCTCAGGGGAGCCCCCTCTTCCCCGTCTTCGGTATACCCGGAGGATCATTTTTGGAACCATTCAGAGGATCCTTTCAAGAAAACACTCACCTCACCAAGGGCCCTGAGAAAGAATCCTCCCAAAGTCGACTTCCGACCTGATCAGTTTCGGAATAGAAAGCTTCACCTTTTGTTCCTGTACGGATTTCAGTGGCAAAACCAATCGTTAAAGCTTTTTCCGGGCAGGACTTCTTCAACCGCTTCAATGAATTCAAGGGAACCACCTTCAGGTGAATCCTGGCTGTAGGCTGCATGAATTTCCACCACCCTTAGTGGACTCTTCCAGGTCCAAAAGGTCTCCCTCTAACAAGGAGAGGGACCTTCTTTTGGGTGACCTGACAAAAGGACCCGGAAAACCTCAAATACTCACACAGAAAATGGTCGAACTAACTCGAGTCCTTCAACATGAACTTGGGAACGCGGCACGAAACTTCGAAAACTGAAAAAGGGCCCATCCCTCCGCTCCGCAGTTCCGCGTTGCAGCGGAACCGCGTTGTTTGACGGAAGCCACCCGTTTCCGCTGACCGGCGAAAGCTTTGCACTGCCACGGCACGTGCACTTCTCAAAGCGTCCAAAGACCTGAGCTCGGAAACGGTTGATCCGAGGGCAGTGGAACGATGAAATTCGGAAGGAAAATCAACACCAAACACAAACTGACGCAACCGTTTTTGGGACTGCATTGCCTTGCCCTATATGTATACATGAATGGTGGGCGCGTCCTCGCACAAGGGGGTTGCTTGGACAAAGCTCAATGCACTCCCAAACACGACCTATCTAGAAACTGGCATCTTTTCCAGTCCCAGACAGCTCGTGTCTGGGATGTTTTTTCTTACCTTCGTCCAAGTCATTGATCCAATATGGCCCCAAGATAAAACGACTTAGTTGTTGTTTCACTGTATACAAGAGCTGGGTGGGTTTCGTGAAGAAGCTGCAGTTCAGTTCATGACCTCTTTGGGGTTATAAGTGATTCAAGCTCCGTTTGTGACCGAAAATCCTGGGATCTCAAGTTCGCTCACTTGGAAGACACATGAGCAGTTGTTTGTTGCAGGACGGCACGTTCTTCCAGAGGTTCCGTGACCCCATACGCGTTGAGATGAGTGACATACTGTGTGACATGTCAAAGGCTCCCTCCGATGAAGCGCTCGATACGGGTGATGTGTCACTCATCTCAACGCGATACGGGCCCTCCTTCCTCGTTCTTTCAACGGGCTTTGCTTTGTATGAACAGGCAAAAGGTGTAGTGACAGTTCTATGGTCTATTGGAGTGGTCCTTGACCGTCACACTCCTGGTGTCATGCTTGACTGTCACACTTCGACTTCAAAAACTCCAGGAATGACTGTGTTGATATGTGTTGATTCCTGTTGCAGGAAGCCATGGGAAGCCACGTCAAACCAAGTACCAACAAAGGTTGAAGATGGCTGAAGAACCCTAGTTCGACTACCCCAGTTGGGTACCCCAGTAGAGGTCGATCACTGAGTTCACCACTCCTGGTAGGTGCTTGCTTGGTGCAAGCGACCCGCAAACGTTCCACCCCGGTCGAGACCGGGACCCGAAGTTGGAGACCCCGTGTCCGCCGTAGCGTCGTGGCGAAGCGTTTCAGTTCGGTGGGACTAGGGTGGGTGGAGTTGGAAAGGTCCAGTCATAGCGAACCTGAGGAGGTACTAGCTTGGAGGTGTACGGACAGTGTTTTGAGTTCTAAAGGGTTCTATCATGGTCTATACCAGGACCCTCTAAGAGGTGCCCTGTCTGGAAGCCTATAGGTAGTGTGGGGTAGTCCATTGAACACCCCTTGGAGGGTCCAGGTATAATTGGTCGGTGTAGAAGCAAAGCGAGAAGAGAGATCGACCAAGTGGCGCTCTCCATGACTTTGGTCCACCTGGCCGCCGGCCACGCCGGGTGGAGAGAGACCGAGAGCTGCTGCAAAGGAGCGTAGAACGTCGACGTTTTTCAATTGGATTGGTTGACACCAGCCTATTATTCCTCTTCCCTGAAGTCCAAAGGCTATG